TCCTGTTCTGGAATTGTAGTCACCTTTTATTCCTCTCCATGGTGTCCGATATAGCTCATAGGCTTTTTTGGATTTTCTCTCTTCTTTTTTTCTGATTCTCCTATTATCATAGTAGTACTGAGAAATAAATATATCTTTAAGCTCATTTATTTTGGCTTTCATTGCTTTGAATACTTAATTGCCCTTTCAATGTGTTGTCCATTTCTGAAATGTTAGTATTAATCTTTTGGATTTCTAATTGCAGGTTATATATTGTTTCCAAGTTTGCATTATTTTATCTGTTTGTTCTTGTAGTGTTTTCCTGAATTCTTCTAAAGTTTTTTCTGTGTTCTTGTGTTCCTTAATCTTTCTATCAATCCTTTGAAGGTACTTAAATTTCATCCTTTTGAATTTTTTTTCAGTTAGTTCCATTACCCTTTCTTCCTCAGAAATGTTTCCTGGCTCTGCATCTTGTTCATTTGCTTGAGCCAGTCTATCCTGTTTCTTTGTGTGAGCTAAAATTGTTGTCTCCAGGATTGGTGTATTTGTTTTTAATTGATGACTGTATGTTGATGTGTTCTTAGACTCTCACCAACTGTTTCCTTTGAGTATAAATAGAGAATGGAAGTGTGTGCACTCTTCTCTGTTAGCTGTTCTTGCACCTTGTTTTAGAGTAAGTTTGGCTGGTGTTAGCTGCTGTCTGTGGTTAATCAGATGTTATAGCAGATGACATTGGCTTTTGCCTAGTGGTTGGAGCTGCAGAGGGTAAGGTTGTTGTTGGGCTGTATGGACTCAGTTGCTGTGTCCTGTCGGTTGGTTAAGAGGTGAGGAACCCCCACCCCACTCTCCACACACACATGAAAAGAAAACAGAATAAACATACAGGCAACTAACAATGAAAAGAGAAAAAGCAATAAAGGAAAAAAGAAAAACAGGCAGCAGCCAGAAATAAATCATAACTAAAAAGAGAAAAGATGAACAGGGAAATGGAGTGATAGAAAAGTAAGAGAGAAAATGAAAGGAAGAAATATAAAAAAACACTTTGAAAAGCTTGGGAGAGGGAAGATGAAAAGAGAGAGAGTTTTAAAGAAAGAGCAAAAGGTGAAAGGGAAGATGATAAACAGAAGAAAATGAAAACCAAAAAGAAGATAGAAAGGATAAAGTTTAAGGGAATGTAAACAGGAGGAAAAGAAAGAAACAACAAAACAATGAAAGGGTAAAAAACAAAAACTAGTGTAGCTGTTGAATTCAGAGAGGAGAAAACTCGGGGGTGGGGGTGGGGTTCTGCCAGCCAAAGAGCTCAAGAGATTTATGTAACAGGACTGTATGTGACCATGGAGTTCCTGGCCCTAGATGGAGTTCCTATGGTCTTGTGATAGTTAAGTGCCATCAAGTCAGTTCCGACGTGTAGCAACCCTGCACAGGGTTTCTGAGGATTGACTGGTGAGTTTGAACCACTCCCCTTGTGGTTCAGACTGACCTTACAGTCCAGTGCATTATCCTTCAGGGCCATACCAGGTTTTCTCCATGTTCAGGGCACTCAATCCTGAAGTAGTTCATTGGAGGCTCGTGATGGAGCTGGTTTCTACTAGGATCACAGAGCAGCTGGGAGCAGGGTGGCTGGTTATCAGGGTTTCTGCTAGATTAATGCTAGTCTGGCCAGAATCCTGGTGCGGCACTATAGGATAAGCACTGGACTGCAGAACCACCAGCTGCTTCTTAGAAACCCTATATAGGGTCACTGTGAGTTGGAACTGACTCCACTGCACTTATAAAACTATGGTAATAATGCTGATCTTATGGCTTTGTGTGTTCTGTAGATCTGGCTGTAAAAAGTGGTGTAGCTGGCCCCTGCCTCACACTGGCATGACTAACAGCCATGTGGTTCCAAACCCCCAGAGAGCAGAGTCTTCGCTGGGGGTGGATGAAGGTGAGAGCTCGCCACACCTCTGGTTACCAGGAGAGCATGGGGAGAAAGAAGGAATTGCTCCTTTCCCATCACTGCTCTGCCAGAACAACTCAAAAGAAGTGTGAGGTGGCTGGCTGTCTCTTGCCATCCCTGCTCAGCTTCTCCTCCCACCAAGCACTCATTCCACTTCTCTGACATTTTTCTCTGATGTTCAGGGATCCAGGATTTTCATCTGTCTCTGTTTCATTTGGTCTCGTATCTTTGCTGAGTGGTTCCATGTAATGTGTCTGCCTAGTCAGCCATTTTTCTGAAGACTTCTCAAAACTAACATAAAACAAAAAAACACTTTTTATTATGAATTGGGTAAAGGTTTACAGAGCTAATCAGTTCTCCAGTCACCAGTGCATACACATTAGTTATATAGCACTAGTTAGAATCCCCACAGTGTGGGCTAGCTTATCCCACTTTCTCCCTGTGTTTCCTGTTCCATTCCTCTGTCTTTTCTAACTCTTCTGAATTTTGTCCTTGGGTAAATGCTACCCTTTGATCACAAATAGTTGATTATCTAAGGTGTGAATACCTCTGTAGTGTTATTTTCCTCCTTATAGAGCTATTGTTTGATTGAAAATTGGTCGTGGGCTGAGTTCAGTTCCAGACCTGAAGAGTGTGACTCAGGGTCATAGTCTTGGGGGTTCTACCAGTCTGTTTGTGACCATTAAGCCTGGTCTTTTCTAGGATTTTTGTGTTTTGTTGCATATTTGTCTCCCACTCTACCCTGGACCTTCTAATGCGATCCCTTTCAGAGCAGTTGCTAGTGGTAGCTGGGCATCATTTAATACTGCTGATCACGGGGTCTAGGAGGCTGTTCTTTGGTCCATCAGTCCACTGAACTGTTTTCAGTGAGTCTTTGATTTCTTCAGTCTTCTTTCATCTGCATGGGGAGAAGACCAGTAGTTGCCCCTTAGATGGCCACTCATGAGCTTAATTTTAAGAACTCAGATGCTACTCACCAAAGTAGGATGTAGAACATTGCCTTTGTGGACTATGTTATGCCATTGACCTTGGTGTCCCCTGAGACTATGGTCCTGATCCCCCATGTCCCATGAATCATACCTTCAAGATGTTTGATTATGTCTAAGAAGTTTTCATAACTTTGCCCGCTGCTTGTTGTTGTTAAATACTGTCCAGTCAGTTCCGACTCATAGCAACTCTGTGTAGGAGTGGTTGGTGAGTTTGAACCACCCATCTTGTGATTCAAATGACCTCTTGATCCAGTGCTTGTCCTCCAGAGCCGCACCTACTCTACCATATTCATGGTTATAGTTGCAGCATAGGTAAATAAATATACATGTAGAAACATCCTTTGTTAAACCACTTATACATATATAATTTTTTCTAAAATAAAGTTTCTAGAAAGGGATCAGGAATTACTATTAAGGTATGCAAGCGGGATGTGTTTGAGAAGAAGATTGTGATGATAGAGACTTGGTTGTTAGAGAACTTAAAAACAAAATACAAACCTGAACAATAATTGCAAGAGCAGCTACCAGCTCTACACCTGGGTGGACAAAGGCAGGAAACTGGAGTTAATTGGAATCTCAAACCTCAGAGGAGATCTGTAGAACTGGAGTGCAGATCTGAGATTGGGACATTACCGAGTTCCTGCTGGTACCTTCTTTGCTTCCAATGAAAGGGAACCATTGTACATTATTATGCCCCCTGGTGAAGATAGGCAGCAAACTTTGAAGGGTTTATGTGAGTATAGTGTGGAAATATGGGGTTAAGGGAAATGGTGACAGTAGTGGTGGTGATGTGCTGTGGAGTCAGTTCTGAGGGTTTCTGAGGCTGTACATCATTACAGGGGCATTAAAGCCTCATCTTTTTCCTTTGGAACAGCTGTTACTTTCGAACTGCTGACCTTGATGTTAGCAGGCCGACTCATGAGCACTACGCAACTAGAGCTCAGATAGTAAAAATTTGGGCAGTCACATCTGAAAACCTGAAGAGAAGGGGGAGGGAACTATGTTACTAGAGGCCAGTGAGGACACAGGAGCTACTGGGAAAGGGCTATTCAGCAGAATGCAGCCATTCCCAGAATGTCTGCAAGGCAGAGCACGGCCATTAAACATTGGCTTATCCAAACTGGAAGTCAAAGACCTAGGGAGCTGGATTCCATGGTGCCACAGTCCAGGACCGAGAAAGGTATATAATGAATCTTGGAAGCAAACAGAATAAGCAGCACATAGTACATTGAACATGAAGACATGGTCTTTCTGGAAATCAGTAAAACCTTAGTCAGCGTTGCAATACAATGACAATTTCAGTTGTTTGGCATCCGTTTTCATTTCTTGTGAATTTACCTTTGGTATATAATCTGAACTTCAGTATAGGAGAGAAGTGATAAGACTCATTCTGAGAGTGGTTGACATTTTCTTTCTGTGCTTCAGTGTAACAAAACTGACTACCCAGATATACTGTACCAGTTTTTCCATCTATTTACTTACAAAGCATGGAGTCAGGTAAAACATCATCATTCTGCTGATTTTTGGGGGTAGAATTCCTATATAATCTGGTTTTCTATATTTTTGGGATGTTTTTTTGTTTGTTTGAACTAGTGGTGGGGGTTATGTAGTGGAGTTGGTTCTGACTCACAACAACCCTGTATAGAGTTATAGGAGTTGTTGTTGTTAGGTGCCATCGAGTTGGTACCAACCCATAGCAACCTTAATGCACAGCAGAACAAAACAACTGTCCAATCACAAGAGGGGATGCCTGAGCAAATGGACACCCCACCCCCACCCCTGGAGGGTTCTATTACGCCTGTGCACAGATCTCCTCAAAATTTAAAGTGGCAGTTTCCACTTTAAACCAAACGGCCACCACTTAGTCTGTCAGTTTGTCGTACTGTGAGCTTGTTGTACTGTGGTGGCTTACAGGAGTAGAAAGCCTCATTTCTTCCACGGAGCAGCTGGTAGTTTTGAACTGCGGATTTTGAGGTTAGCAACCCAATTTGGAACCAGTATGAGTGCCCTTTATAATTTATTTAAAGAAATTTTTTTCCTCTTTTTGAAAGTAGTTATAATTTGCCAATTTAAAGAAAGTTTTATTTCAGGTAGTTGCCTGTGAACTTGACCCAAGGCTAGTAGCTGAACTTCACAAAAGAGTACAGGGCACGTGAGTATACATAATAGAATTAAAGTGCATTTTAATCTCTTAAAACAATATTACTTTAAAATTTCTTCTTTTTTTATTATCAGACCTCTGGCCAGCAAACTTCAAGTAATGGTGGGTGATGTATTGAAAACAGATTTACCGTTCTTTGATGCTTGTGTGGCAAATTTGCCTTACCAGGTACATCCTCAACTTGGTAGGAACAACATAGTTAATGGTCCTCTGGTGTGTTTTCTGGAAATAACTCGGTAACTCTCTTACAGATCTCTTCACCTTTTGTTTTCAAGCTGTTGCTGCACCGACCTTTCTTCAGGTATGTGACAAAAGGCTAAAGCTAGATTGACAGTTTAGGCCATGACCACAGATAACCAGTGATGAAAGTCGGGTTAATTGAAAGACTAGTGAAAAATTGGTTGTGTGGAAAATGTTTGTTTGCATGTCTTGTCTTCCTCTCGCCATTTCTTTCTTTGCCTCCCTCTCTTTTCTCCTTTCTTCTTTTCTTTCATTGGTTGCTTTGGGGAGGTGCTGCATCTGAAGCCAGATAGCCTTCTTTTGCTTTCGACTCCTAGGCCACTTTTTTTATTATCATAGTCTAAACAATTGCAGTAGCCTCGTACAGGGTCTCTTATACTCTATACCAGTAGTTTGCAAACTGCAAGTCAAAAACCCTTTTGTGACTGTTAGTTGCCACTGAAGAGTTTGACATAGGGCGACTGCCTATGTGCAGAATAGAACAGAGTCATTGTATCAAAAGGAAATGGTTAATGTTCAACCATTTCAAGAGGTACCATATGAACCAAGAGCCAGTGATTCTCAGGGAGGAAGTCCAAAGTCCATTGAAGGAATTGGCAAAGAACAAGGCACCAGGAATTGATGGAATAAAAATTGAAATCTTTCAAGAAAGTG